CATCCAGCCAGTGTCACCTGACGTGCCAACACAGGCAGAGTTGCCTTGCTGGGCTGTGAATGAATGATAGTTGTACCTACCTCTGTAGGAAGCTCTTCCTTCAGTTAAGAACCTTTTGTTCTTTTTTTAAAAAATTTAATTGTAGTGGCTGACCTGTAACTTTTACCACTGATGTTAGTGCTAATATCTTGGATTCTAGAGTGCATTTAACAGATACTTCCTGTTCTTTTTGAGGCATTGTCCTGGGAAGCAGCAGTACAGCAACACATCCAACCTGAGGGTCCCTGGAACAGACATATAGAGCAGACACACCGATAGAACAGTGCATCTGTGAAGATGCATAAAGAAGCACAGGTTGAAGCCATTGATATGTCATGACTCTCAACACTCAGGTCCCTTCTTGGAGCACTCCAGGACCCCTAGTTCTGTTTGCCTCTTTTCTTCCAGGCTGCACATTTCCTTCAGCCGTTGCTCATAAGGATGTTTTCCAGACACCCTTTGCCTGGCCGCCGAGTCAGCCTCCAAGCCGGGGTTGCTGAGATTCCTTTTAAGCATGCCACCTGGGTCTGAATTCCAGTTTTAGCCTGACCATTACGGCATCGCCCTTGGGGATGCTCCTCTGGCTACTGCTCTTCCTGCTGATGGTCTGAGGTTACACCTGTCCTGTTGGCAGGCTCCTTGAGTATTGATTTAGGTTCTGGTCAACCATGGCTTTTGCAGCATACGCTTGTCCTCTCAGCCAGCCACTGGCTTCCTCTGGCTGCTTCTGATTAGTGTTTTACCCTCAGAGTGGTCTGCATGAAAGTTTGCACTTGGCTTTGCTTGTCCTACACAGAAAGTAGCCAGGGCTTTCTGGGAGCTGTTGACCTTCACAGTCTCCCTCTGCTCTCTGGCATGTTCCAGAACAGACTACTAGTGGTGCAGATTGTTCTGCCCTGTTGGTAAGTTGGGAAATGCTACATCTTCATAGAACACTGTACAAAGTTATGTGCATGCAAATGAGCATAGGATTTCCCCTGGTGTGATTTTATTATTGACTGGCAGTCCCGGCACAGTTTCTGAGCTGAAAATAATCACAGAGTTTGTGTACTCCTTTAATCAGAATCATAACCCAATATTTAAAAATTGCTGTTGGCAAGAAGCTGCAACTACAATCCCAGAGGTGCACGGTTTGAATCCAGCAGATGCTCTGCCGGGAAAGGAGGGACAATCCTCTCCTGTACCAGTCAGATCTGATTTGACAGTACACGCACACAAAAATAAAATTAAAAAATTTAAAAAAAATTGCTGTTGAGTAATGTAATGTGTTTTATGGGGGGAAACTACAGTGCCTCCCTCAGTCATCTCACAAAACATTTTTCATGTTCACAAATCCCTAGGCATCTGTTACATTTTTGATTGTCTTTTTCATAGGCAAGAAATGGAAAATACGGTGTACGTTCATCTCTGTAACTATTTTAAATGCAAATGATAGCATCTAACAGGCTTCTTAGTCCTGGGATCCATGTTGATGTCACAGAAGATTGATAGTCTTGGGTAGTTGAGAAAATGTGAGTTAGGTGCCATCTGTGGCCACTTACTTAGCAGACGGGGTAGATGACAGATCGGCCACATGAGCAGTGTGTGCTCCTGGAAGAGAAGAAGTAAAGATGTTTTATCATGCAGGACTTTACACATTTTCCTTTTTCATGAAAATACACATTGCAAAACTAATTCTCACTCCACTTTCTATGCCCAATGATCAGCGACTTTGATTACATTCTTCACATTGTGTCCACATTCTCCTTACTTTATTCTATTTATTTCATTTCCATAATCTGCCCACCACCAACCTCCTCATCTCTACTTTAATTGTTGGCCTATGTAGATACTGTTTTTTTAAAGTAACAGTAAGGTTCACATGTGACAGTCTCTGCTCCTTGGGTTAAACTGTTCCTTAGTTTAAAGATAATTTCAAGGGAGAGATTCAGTCAGTTCAAGATTTGAAGAATAACTCAGGACCATAATTTCAGGGACTTCCCCAGAATCATTAGGTAACCTAAGTCTTTAAGAATTTGAGGTTTTGTTCCATGTTTTTTCTCTTTCAGTAGTGACTGCTCTCTTGTGCTCCTGATCAGAACATTCAGTCAGGGTAGCTAGGTATCCCCCTCAGTCTCCCGTTCTCAAGGTGGAGGCGGCAGTGGTTCATGTAGGCCTTCAGCCCTGGAGCCCAGTCCTTTCTCTTATTCATGGGTTTCCTTCATTTCTCTTTTTAGGGAGCTTTTTGTAATCTTTTAAGACCCTAGACACTGCTCTCCATATGGTTAGGTAGACCCTAACCTTAAAGACTTACAATTGCTTGGATTGTCCTTCAGGACCATGGTCCTAAGTAGGCGGAATGAATCCTGGCATTGAGCACTTCCTAATCATGTTCTTTATCTAAAGCCTTGAATTTATTTTCTTTCTATAATTCAGGTTAATTTATTTCCAGAACAAGAGTACTTTAGAAGTTATTTTTCTTATTTAATTTTTTCCTTGATGATTTAATTATGTGGCTTTTTTCAGAAACCAGCATATAGTCACATAAACCCAAGATAATTGTAGAAAGACAGCAGTATGGTAGGGTGTTCTAGAAAATTCATCCGGATGCCACACAGCAACTCCTGCACTGGGATCAGTGGAAATGGGTCAGCTTCCTGCCATCTGCGCAGATTGGCTGTTTCTCCAACCACAGACCTGCTACCACTGATGCCTCCAGCCTTCTGGCTGTTTCCACTCCCTTATTCCCTGCATTTCCCCTGGCGCTTTGAAAATGCTTTTCTTTAGGAGGTGTTTTCAGGGGTTTTCTGTATATCCAGAGTTGCTCATGTTCAATATTGGTGTCCTAGGGAAAGTACTAATATATAATGTAGGAATTTTTATATTGGCTTTTATAATTTATTTGCATTTATCCATGAAATTCCTTAAAACCATTGGAATAGACTGTGATAGCTTTTAATTGGTATTGTTTAGCAGCTAGATGCACAATTAAGATCCCTAGATGTAATAGTAAAGAAATCAAAAGCTGTGTTGTATTTGGAAAGTCAAGAACGTCTCCAAAGTCCTGAAGAGCAAGGATGTCAGTTTAAAGACTAAAGTGTATCTGATCCAAGCCATGGTATTTTTAATTGTTTCGTATACATGGGAAATTTGGACAACGAAAAAAGGAGACTGAAGAATTGATGTCTTTGAACGGTGATGTTGAAAAAGGATCATTGAATATGCCATGTTGTTGTTAGATGATATCAAGTCAACTATGACACACAGTGACCCTGTGAACAGATCTGAACCTTGCCCTGTGCCGTGCCATCCTCATGATCAAGCCCACTGTGATAAACACAGTGTCAGTCAGTCTTGTTGAAAGTCTTCCTCTCTTTTGCTGACCCTGTACCTTCCTCCTGATAATATGCCCAAGGTAAGTGAGGTGAAATTTCACCATCCTTGCCTCCAAGGGTGCTACTTGACTGTCTGATTGGAAGAGATCCATAGAACAACAGTAACAAATTATATAAAACAATGTATATGTTTTATATATATATACACACACACATATAATTGTGTGCAAAGCAATTTTTTTTTCAAAGGAAAAGGATAAAACACCCAAATCTGTGTTGGGAGCAATACAGTCATGAGTGTTTCTTGGAAAGAAGAATGGTGTTGTCTCACATACTTTGGGCATGTTGTCAGGAAGGACCAGTTCCTGGAAGAGAGGATCATGCTTGGAAACATAGAAGCTCCGAGAAGACGAGGAAGATTCTCAAGGAGGTGACTTGACACAGTGACCAAAACAGTGAGCTTGAGGTCAGGAGGGATTGTGAGGCTGGCACAGGGTAGGACAAAGTGTCGATAGGGTCTCTAAGAACTGAAGTTAGTTTAGCGACCTTTCAGCAGCCTGATGCTGTCACTGGTTCTCATCAGATCATTCCTGACTTAGCATGGGCCCATGCTCCTCACACCAAGCAGTGAAAGGCTGCCTGGGCTTGCTCCCTGCCATTATCATTTGAGCGTCGGGCCTTTGTGATCCACAGGGCTCTTACTGCCCGATTCTGAGGAGTATAGTTTTATTGTACTTCGCTTTATTGCATTTCATAGAGAGTTAGTATTTTACAAACTGAGGTTGGTGGCAAATCTGTATTAATAAAGCCTTTTGATACCATTTTCCTGTAGCCATAACTCTCTGTCCCATTTTAGTATTTCTTACAATATTTCATATTTTTCCATAATGCTGTTGCACACTTATTGGACTACATTGTAACATAAACATAACCTTTGTATGCACCGAGAATCCAAATGCTTCATGTGGCCTATGTTTTGGGAGCTTTACGTTATTGTCTTGGTCTTGAACTAAATCCACAGTATCTCCATGGTGTGTCCCTAGCTCACCAGGGCCTTCGTCCTAGTCTGCCTGCCTAGCTTGACAGCGCCTCTGAAACCTGTTCGCTTTCACAGCAACATGCTGTCCTCCACTGGCTGACCGATGGTGGCTTTGCATGAGATGCCTTCACTGGGAATTGAGTGTGCATCTTCTACGTGAAAAACGGAAGTTCCACCGTGAGCCATCAGAGTCCTCAATTAGCAGCTGGTGTAAGAGAATTTATTAAGTACTGGAATTCAGAATATGGTAGATGTGCTATAAACCCAGACAGCTACATTGGGTACATCATCACATGGAAGACCTTTGAGATGGTCTGAACAGCTGGACCCCAATGACAGAACTCCTAAGGTGGAAGGACTAAGAGAATTCAGATCAGAACAATACTGAAGACGCACAGTCCTAGGAAATTCCTTCAGGGGTCAGCATGTCAGTGAGCAGGTCGAACCCCGTAGTTACGCTGATACGCCTCATATATGACTCCTGTTTGTGATGTTTCTCTATGCACGTGTGTCTGTGACTCGCAAGATAATAAGTACAGTGGCTTTTCTTTCCCAAAGTCAATGACATTAAAATAAAATCATTTTTCATTTTCTCCCTTTTTTTCCAGAACAAGCTTGCCCTCCCCTATGTTTTCCAGAAACGACTTCAGTATCTGGAGCATCCTCCGAAAATGTATTGGAATGGTAAATTAATCCTCAACTTCCTTGAAAGGGTGTCGCAATGTTTGCATCAGAGTGAGGCACGGAATGTTTATGGACCCTAAGACTCAGAAATGAGGGAACTGGTAATAAGTTGAATAAGATAGAATTTGAGTCATTCTTTATGCCACTTAATATGGCTTTAATGTGGCGCTCAGTAGTGAGAATTATTGGAAGGGATCTTTCTCAGTGATCAGAGAATTTCTATTTCTCCTTAGTTATATGCAAAAATTCTCTCAAGAGCCAAGTTGGCTCCCCACCGTGTAGAAGATAACTTTATTTAACGCTCTATATAGAGCAATGACTTTGTGGGTTTAGTGTAAGAAATGGCTGGACTGTATCTCTGCTGGCCAGGAAATGTGATTTACTATCAGCTCTTGGCTGTAGAAATACTTAGATTCCCTTTGGGATACTACTGCCGTGGTGTCAGTCAGTCTAAAATGCTACATCGAGTCTCTGAATTCTCCTGCACTCATGACCTTTGACCATCAGGAGTAAGGAAAATATGAAAGCACATGAGTCGTGAGCTGCCGAAGAACCCACAGTCCCATGTGCAGCCAGCAGCGCTCAGGGCTTCCCTGCGCATGGAGGGCAGTCCCTTCCTAAACATCTCCACCCCGGAGCACTCAGGATGTCCCTGTATATGGAGGGCAGTCCCTTCCTAAACATCTCCACCCCAGAGCACTCAGGATGTCCCTGTACATGGAGGACAGTCCCTTCCTAAACATC